TGGTTCAATGAGTATAGCCATAATTTCGAGTTGGGGAGAAGGGAAAAGGAAAAAAATCCGGAATCTAGTTTTCAGTGCAAGCACCATGAGACTTGCGTGTGAACAAGATACACAGTTCATTGGTTGAGAGAGAAAAGGCCCATTATTATTTTAGCATGCAACATAAGGAAGGAGGGATAATCATTGTGATATGTATGTATCCTGTTCCCTGATTTTATTCATTATATATGTAGTGTAACAACAGAAAATATCTTACGTTTTCCCTTTAGTTATTTCTCTCGTCCACTTTTTCATAGACATAAGGATTCCTGTAATAAATTCAGTCATATATTGTGGCCAAAAGCATGTAACGTACTATTCACACTAAACTGAAGAGCTTCAATTTGTGTAGTAGTAAGCCAGCCGTGTAATTAAAGCCGGACCAGACTAAAAGAGAATTTTCATCTCAGTAATCACAAAACTCTAACCTCGGGTCAAAAGGGTGGAATAATCATTAAAACCCCATCTATGTTCATATTTAGTCAACTTGAAGCAGTAAACAAAGAATGAGGTTTAAGTCAAAATCTGTAGTTAGTGAAATTGATGATCAATTTGTCATTATCATGGCCGGTAACTAAGTTGTGTCTATGGTAAGCAGACGGCACCAGTGACCAGTGATATGTCACCAGAGTGGTCTAAATAGGAACTAGCAATAACCTTCCTTCAACTCAATTTGACTTTATATATTCATTGCTTGTTTTCGGTAAAAATATCATGTTAGCAATGATGCTGATTCGTGGTATTATTGTAATCTCTAAAACATGGGGCTGGCATTACTTAAGTTTCTCAACAGAATAGTACTTAAGTTTAGTGGTGTATAAGAGTGATAAATTTGAAGTTTAAGAGTAAAAGAGAAAGAGAAAGGTAAGTAGGCAATAGTTTTTAAAGTGAAGAAAGAGAATGATAGAAACCTTTGAGGAGAACTATTTGAGGTCTGTTTCAATGAAGCTGAGAATAGATTGTTGGGAAAGCAGCCGCAGAAAGAAAGTAATTTGGAAGGTGAAATGGGAGATGATGGAGCCTACAAGATTAGAATGAAATAGTGATGATTTTGATAAGGGGTGTGTGGTGGGGTTGCTTCATCAAAGAAAGAAATAGTGCAAACGAAGCAAGTTGAGAGAAGCATTTGGGGCGGTTTGTGGGACTGCAGAGGAGGTTGGGCTGCTCAGTCCCACACACACATTAAATGTATTCATAAAGCATACATTTTCAACTCTTGTCATTATATTTGGATTATCTTATCACTCAGTACTTCTTTTCCTTTCCTTTTATTTTCTTCCTTACACTACGTCTTTCTCTTTAACAGCAAACCTTCTAGACACCAAATTTCAAGCTTAAACCAATTTTGATAATGACATGCCTTGTGTCGCAACCCAACTTGTCTCCCTTTATTAATTTCTCCTAAGATTGTCTCAATACATCCATTCATCATTACTTCTGCTCATTATTCCTTTTGTCTTTTACTGTATCTTTTTTTATTAATATATTCTTATACATTAATCATTGCTCAAAATTAGGTTTAATATTTTTAATTAAAATGCTCAATAAACCAAGTATGTGATCTTTTCCTGATATATAATTTATTTCCTATCTAAAATGGTGTTATAAAAGTTTATTCCTTAGACCAATCAAAAATACTTAATGTGAATTTATTGATCAAGATTTTAGTTTAACCAATTCTGAATTCCAATTTAAGAATCTACTTTATTTAAATATTTCAAAGAGGAATTTTGTTATTCACAATATTCTTATAGTAAAGAAAATTGTTTAGAGTAACATGTTGTCATAAAAAAAGTATTTAAATGACTTGAGAAATATTTTATTTCCATTTATGGTCACCGAGCTCTACCTGAATTATGTTCTATATATATATATATATATATATATATATATATATATATATATATATATATATATATAGATATATATATTTATTGTTTTTAAT